GTAAATAAGATTTTTAAATAATTAATTTTTTTTTTAATTTTTTTTTTATTTTCTATCAAGAACTTTATCAATATAATAACATAACAATGGAAAACATCAATAAAGCACAAGAATGTGCAGACAGTATTACAGTGAAATCTCTCATCCTAATTAAATTGACACAAAAAAATATTTTTGCAAGCACAAACCAAAATCAAAGTTGAAAACATATCAACCAAAGGCCGAAAAGAGACAACAACAAATATATATATATATAGATCTGATTATATATATATATTAGTTTACATATATGTATATTATATATATATAGATCTGATTATATATATATATATATATATATTTGAATATGAGCTCATTATTTTAAATCAATTATATATTATGTTTTGTTTTCATAATAAAAAATAAAAAATTGCATAAAAATGGGAAAACCAAATGGTTATTGCAATTCAGTGGCATCTTTTTCCAAATTGCAATTGAGATGAGATCTTCAAAATTATTTGCAAAGAGATGGAATCTTCCATTGAAAAGACAAAAGACCCTTTCCTCTTCCTTTTTCTCTTTACTTCTTCCGCCTCTTACTCTTTCTCCAAAAGAAATAAAATAAACCTTCATCCCTCTCCTTTTACAACTTCAACGACCACCATCCACCACAAACGACTTTTTATTCTCCGCTCTCGCCACCCTTACATTTTAGATGAGTTGATTAGGCGAGAAATGATAAGAAATGATGAGAACAGTAATTATTTTCTCATGTTTGGTTTATTAGTCAAAAATGGTGAAAAATGATGAAAATTTGTGAATCTCTTACTAAATTTGTTTTATTTCTCACCAAAGTATTGAGATTTGGTGAGAAAAAAGTTGATTAGTTATAAAATATTTATAATACCAATATTGCCCCTTAAAATAAGAAGAAAGAAAAATACATCTTACATATCTTCCTTTTTCACATTCTTTATGTTTTTACTCATCTAAACATGATGGTGAGAAAACACAAGCATTTTTTTATTTTTTTATTTTCTCACCTAGATGAGAGCCCTTAATAATTTATTTTCTTCTCTCACCCTATGGTCACCTCTAGCTCTCACGTTATCTCCGACCTCTCCCCAACACTCTACTGCCATTCTCAACCCCTCTCTTATCCTTTTGGTCTTCCAACCACCATTTTCCACTAGTGAAAGTCCTTTATCCTTCCCTTTCTTCATTTCCCACCATAGATCTTTCATCCATTCCCTCTCTTCATAACATTTCCAACATTAAAACCCCAACATCGTTGTAACTCTGACATCCATCACGTGTTGCTCGCAACCCTCAACCTCTTCTCCAGCCTCTGGTCACCCTTCCACATCCTCTAGCTTTTTCCACATTGATATGAGTTGAAATGTTACACTTTTTAGTCTTTTAACTTATGATATTTGATACAATAAAGTGTTTTTCATCATTTTTATGTTAACATCACTCCAGAGACAAAATGATCACAAAAAGAGACAAAAAGAGTGAAAAGTCTGTGACTAAGTGAATCGGCACGAGCAGAATTCACAAATCTACACGAGCGGATTTCCCTGCCAAAAATTGCCCTCTAATTGGATCTACTTGAGCGGAATCCCCAATTCGCACGAGCAGATTTGCCTCGATATGTGTGTGCATCTTTTTGACTCTAGAGGCTATAAAAAGAGATTTTAGGGACCTATTTTGGGATCTGAAACCCTAGAGAAAATAGTTAGAAGCTAGAGAAGAACAACAAATCATCAATCCATGGATTTCTCTTCAACATCTGAAGTGTTCAACCTCTCCATGAGTGGCTAAGCTTTCTTCTTAGGATTGAGATGAAACTCTAATCAAATATCATGTAATTTTGTATTTTAATTCTAGTTTGTCTTTGGAATTGGATAATCGTTGTATGATTGTTTTTAGATATTTTATTCAAAGAATTTTTCATTCGATTGACGTATTCGATTTCTATGATTGAGAATGCATGATCATATGATTGTTTTACTTTCTTGTATATACAAATCATGAAACGAGTCATGCTTAGGGGAGACGAATTGTGCTACAACCTTAGTTTAGTGTAGATGATTCATACCGACCAAAGATGATTCGTGTGTACGTTTTGAATATACTCATCTTCTTGATGATGATATTGGGGCATGTAGCCATGATACATCATTAGTATCGGGGCCATTGATTTACTAAAATTAGATATTTTAATTACATGATATAAGATTAGTAGTGGATTCGAAATCCTAAGTCTCTCTCCATATTCAATTTATTCTCTTTATTTGCACAATTATTTTAGTTTTAATTTAAATTCTCATTAGCAAAAACCAATTCATCATCTTTTCTTCAAATTAAATTAAAAATTATCATTCGAATTAATATAACTCAGCCCAAAGTCATCGTGGTACGATTCTTGGACAATCCACTATTCTACTGAATTAGTACTTTATTTAGTTATTTATTTTTGATTAAAAAACGATCGATCACACATCCATCCTGCCGTCCATTTACCTTTGAAACCCTTCCACCTCTTTTACCGCAAGTGACTTCCCTATATTTCTCCACTCCCTCCAGCCCATCTCCTACCTTCATTCATCTTCATCTACCTTTTGCAACCCATCAACACCTCTCGTCTCCTTTGCCTTTTGTTCTCTACATTGTCCATTTCCTCTCTATGAAACTAGATCAAGGAACCCTGACTTCTTCATATTGTGCACTCCTTTATCTAGATTGTCCATTTCTTATCTACATTTCCTCTAAATTCTTTTGTCTAATGCTCCGTTTGTTTGGGTAGAAAGTATTTTTAATTTTTTTTTAATATATTTTTTGGTGTTTGGTACAATGAAAAACGAAAGTCAACAAAAAACATTTTTCATGGTTAATAGAAAATGTTTTTCACTTTTAAAAGGGGAAAAACGTTTTTTGGACTAAAATCTTACCAATATCACCACACTATCATTACTACTCTCACTTCCCCCACTGTACCACCATCACCACAGCCATTGCCACAATTACCGTCGCTATCACGGTCGTCACCACACCACCCTTATGCCACCAGTTGCTATCATCGTCGCCACCACACCGCCACCTCCATCTCTACCTTTGTTTTACCACCAACACCACCGAACATAGAAAAATGTTTTCTCCAGAAAACATTTCATCGAAAAAGTCTTTCATAAAAAATGTTTTCTACCTAAACAAACACCGTAAGTTCCATTTTCTTGCAATTTCTCCGTCAAAAAAATGTGTGGCAATTTTAATTCTGTGCCTCCTCTATTTCGAGCTCTAGGCTCCTTATCTTTCAGCAGTCATTGTTTGAAACTGCCAGTGTCTGAAAAAGAAATGTAAAAACAATCGGACTTGGAAAGGAGGTTGAGCTCCTTTGTAAGAAAAAAAACACCAAACAGAAAAAATTATAGTTATATATTTATTTATTTTGCAGTTGAAGAACATCATCGATAATAAACCTTTTTTTTTATGGACATGATAAACCAATACATCACAACACAATCACAAGGTCAAGATTGAGTTTTTTTTTAAAGTTATTTTATTTTTATTTTTAATTTTTTTGATTTTTAATTTTTATAATCAATAGGATTTAACCGTCAGCTATCAAAAGAGAGTTTCAAGAAACAAACAAGAGTTGTATAAACGAAGGTAGAAGAGAGTTACCATTGTCAATACATGGCCAACTAAGAATAGAAGCCAAATTTGGCTTTATAAGAAATAAATAAATAAATAAACAAACAAACAAATAAATAAAAAAGGATTGGGTTACAAAAATCAACTTATTTGGTACATTTCTATTTTTTTTTTCTTTTTCTTTTTTAGGTTATCATGTTTGATTAAAAAAATGGTATTTTTTTTTTTTTTTTTGTATTTTTGTTTTTGCATACAACTTATCGAAGTGCTCATTATAAGAATGACATGGTCATACAATCTTTTTATTATTCAAAAAATCTGAGGGACAAAACGATAAAATATGCATTACATTACAACGATGTACCGCAAAAACTAAGGGAGCTTCTATATACACACACCTAATCCCCTCAATACACACACTTAATGATATTTAATTTTATTACAATTTTATCCCTAAGTGAAATTACCATTTTAGACACCCTTGTTAATTGAAAACATCTCAATGCACACCTCAGAGTTCACATTATTTCATCGTGTGTGTAAGCCCCTGGTTTGGCATGCTTCTTTGAAAATGGCTTTGGCATTTCTGTAGGGTTTTCATTTTTTACAAAGGGCTGTGGCATTTCTGTAGGGAAAACATCATTGTGATGGAGGATTTGCCTTCTGAAAATCAGTAAATAAGTATTCATGTGAAGCAGAGCGAAGGAAATGTGAGTTTAATTTTTTTTTTTCGCAGCGTCATTTGGATAACCAGAGCCGAATTTTGTTATTTTGTTCGGAAATGTACTACCGAAATAATTATGTATTTTCGGAAGTTGATGTCCGAAAAAAGTGATAAATTTCGAAAGTTGTTGTCCGAAAAATGTATTCAAATTCGGAAGTTGTTGTTCGAACAAAGTTAACTTGTACAACATTCAACTTCCGAAATTTGAAAAAAAATTCGGACAACTACTTCCGAATGAAGTAAATTTTTTTTTTTTCAATTTTATATTCCAAATTTGCAAACTGCATACCAAATTTACAGTTTCAAATTGCAAATTAATCTTTATAATGCCATTAAAAATTTGTAATGTTATACAAAACATGCAGGAATATGTGTCAACTCAAGGAAGTCAGGTTTGCGCGGATTTTGTGTTAGATTACACCACTCAATTCACAACTGAACAGGTTCAGTCTACGAAATTATAACGATTATGTTTCGAATTGCTCAACAAATGTAAATGTTTGATAATATTTATTTAACTTTGTAGGTATTCAAAAGTAAGGATGAATTGCTCAACTGGGTACGTGAAGTTGGAAAGAGAAATGGTTTGGTCATTGTAATCAAAACATCAGACTATGGTGGAGGGAAAAAAAGACCCAGGATGTATCTTGCTTGTGAGAGGAGTGGCCAATATAGAGCAACAAAGAAGTTAAAACATGATGGCAACAATACATCAAGAATAACCGGTACGAAGAAGTGTGGTTGTCCTTTTGATATGAGGGCTCACAGGTTTACCACACACGATGAATGGACATTGACCGTAGTATGCGGATTGCATAATCATCCACCTGCAGAGCACCTCGAGGGACATTTATATGCGGGGAGGCTATCAAAGGATGAGAAAGCATTGTTAATGGATATATCAAAGAGCATGGTTCGGCCAAAAGAAATCCTAGTAACCTTGAAACAGCAAGATGCCCTCAATGTAAGCACACTTAAAACCATTTACAATGTACGCCATCGAAACAGGGTGGCACAGAGAGCTGGAAGATCACAGATGCAACACTTATTGGGTGAATTGGCCAAGTATAATTACATTGAGCGCCATCGGTCTGAAGAGTCCACGATGACTGTGACAGACTTGTTTTAGGCACATCCTACTAGTTTGGACTTATTTCGGTCTTTCCCACGTATATTAATTATGGATTGCACATATAAAACCAACAGATATCGGCTTCCTCTTCTTGAAATTGTGGGAGTGACATCAACTGAAATGACATTCTCTGTAGCTTTTGCATACTTACAGTATGAGAGGGTCGATAACTATGCGTGGGTGTTAGCCACATTACGTGATGTCATGGATGGGTTTGTTGTGCCAACAGTTATTGTTACTGACAGAGAGCTAGCCTTGATGAATGCCATACAGAAGATATTCCCGAGTGCCAGACATTTATTATGTCGTTGGCATATCAGTAAGAATGTGTTGACCAAATGCAAGAAAATGTTTGAGACGTAGAAATGGGAGAAGTTCAACCATGAGTGGAACTCTTTAGTGTATTCATCTTCTGAAATTCAATACGAGGAGCGTCTTAAATCATTACTTAAGGAATTCAGTAGTTATCCTGATGCAGTCAAATATGTCATGGATACTTGGTTGGTTCCTTACAAGGACAAATTTGTGGCGGCATGGACAGACACGTGTATGCATTGTGGCAATGTTACAACGAACCAGTAAGATTACTTTTCTTCAATATGTTATTAACAAGTGCCATGTACTTGATTTTAACTTGACTTACATTGAATTGAACAGGGCTGAGAGTGCACATGCAAAACTTAAAAGACAATTGGATTCATGTCAAGTCTCATTTCAGGCATCATTTGAGAACATACACAGTCTGCTTGAGTTGCAACACACTAATATCAAGGCTTCATTTGTGAAAAGTCTAACTATTGTGCAACATCAATTTAAACCTTCTCAATTCAGGGAGCTACGGGGGAATGTGTCTATCTCTGCATTAGAGTATTTGCTTGTCGAGAGTAAGAGAGCCAATTCCATTGGTATTGATGTTGAAGCTTGTGGATGCGTCCTTCGCCACACTCATGGTTTATCTTGCGCCCATGAGATTGCTTACTACATCAGACAAGATCGTCCTATACCACTTGCTACCATACACTCACAGTGGAGGCAACTTCATATCTCCATATGCAAGAAAGAAGAGGAAACAGAGGTGACTTGTCATGCAGAAGTAGAGTTATTTGTCAACAAGTTTAATGAAAGTGATAGAACCATGCGATTGGAGCTTTTGAAGAAGTTGAAAGAGATTGTATATCCGGGAAGCTCTTTTCTTGTTGAGCCGGAGGTGAAGCCCAAAGCACGTCCTCGGGATCATAAGAAGATCAATGTTTCTACCCGTCGTGACCTGTGTGCATTTGAGTTAGTGCAATCTGGACATGATTCCTTCTTACCTAGGGACACTCAAATCACTACATTAGCTTCTACTTTGCAAACCAAGAAGAAGCGACCTGTTAAGGGAAAGGAGAAGGTGAACCCGAAAGGGAAGGCATACATTACTAGAACAGTGAAACCTGGTGCATATGTTGATGCTTTCCTTACTGGGTTAAAACCATACATTAAGTTTGTCAAGGATCAGCACGGCCCAGTAATGCAATATAATACACAACAGGACAGGACTTTGAACAAATTATTTATTTTGGAATAGTAACAATTATACAATTATGATAATTAGGAAATTGTGTCACTATTCCTATGTGTGTCTGCACATCGCTCCATCGTCTGCATGGACGGAGCCATCGCCTGGGTTTTTAATTCGGAAACCGCTTTCAGACCGGTGAATAGAGCATTTTCGCTAGACTCGCACACACACAAAGAGGAATACATTACACTTTATGGGTCCTATGAAAGGTTTGAAGAATTGACAAGCATATTGTCATACTTTGAAGACAGTCCTGGATACTCACATTGGATGACTATGCCAGACATGGGTCATCTTGTTGCATCGTGCTACAATCTTGTGTTATACCACTTGTCTTTACAGCAATGTCTCACCTTTTTACCTCTTAGAACCGTGCCAGTACCTCAACTTGATAGACGTGAGATTGCCATTGGGTTTGTCAACGGAAATCATTTCGTGCAGGTATAACAGAAACTTATCAATTGCGTTTATGCATGTAGAAGAAGTTATGAGGTATGACCACTAAGTCAATTGATATTTGGTGCAGGTTTTGTTGCAGCCAGGCCATCCAGTTCCTCCTATTGCCACTAATTGGAGAAAATACCGTCACCCTTGCGCTGTGGACTGGGATGATGCATATGTGCGTCGCATTCAACATTTCAAGGACATTATTCATGATAATGTAGCTACTCGAGAGACTTTTGATGTTGTTGATGTCGCATGACACATGTATGCATTTGACAATGTTACAATTATGGAAGAAATTAATGGATGTGTTTTTGATGTTGATGTGTTATGTTTTGCAATGTGGATTAAATGTTATCGACCATTGTTACCATTCCATTGTAATAAGAAAATATCATTTACAAAATCAACGACCATTGTTATCATTCCATTCTAATAATAAAATGTCATTACAATACCATTGTTGCCATTCCATTGTAATAAGAAAATATTAACCACTGTTACCATTACAACAATGTCATCTTATAAAAAACACCAAACAATATTCATCAATTAACAAAATAACATGTAACAACATAACATGTCACGAATCAGCTGTATGCCTACGCCTAGGCCTACGATTGTATGTCAATGTCGAAGATGGAAAACAACCTCCAGCAGAACTAGGTCCAGCTTCGTCAATGTGCTGACCTTCAAGAACATGTGTCATACTCTTGATAGCCTGGTAAAGTCGATAAGGATGGCGAATCCCCTCCTGATAACCAGCGTCAATAATAGGATGTGAAATCTGCAGTGCATGTGCAATACGCTGCATTTGAAAAAAATATCACGTTTTAGGGAACATATCAGAAAAAAAAAAGTAAGTTACATATGCATCAGAGAGGATAATAGATTACATCCGCATGTTCGCTGAAATCCTGATGGTCATGGACACGCGGTTCATCAGTGTGCTCGACATATAGGTGCGTGATATTCTTATACCAATCCATGTAACCCGGTACACATTGCCAAGGCTGACGAACTGGTGTGCTCCTCCGTTGTGCAGACAACACGTGGTTATCCCAAGCCTCCCATATCCTATCCAAGTATCTGTACATAACGGTATATCGTGCAGATATGTTGCCTCGTGCACCACGACTGGGAGCTAGCGGTGCATCTGGGATGGTTTGAACCCTGCCAAACTGCCTCAAAACTCTATCTAGATGATAGGGTTCGACAATGTCTAATAGGGGTGGGCAACGGTTTATCCGAACCGCTCAAACCGCCCAATCCGCCCAACCCGCATATAAATGGGCGGTTTCGCAAACATAATGCGGGCGGATGCGGTTTGAAATATGACAAATTTGCGGGTTGCGGGCGGGTCGCGGTTTAAACCCGCAACCCGCAAAAACCGCCCGCACTTTAATTATTATTATTATTATTTTTTTTTATATACCAACTTTGTAACTTTTACAGAAACACCATTATATTCTCTATGACACTAGGATCATTATTTTTAAGTATTTCTCAACTTTCTTAATGTCGTAGAATTATCAAGTCCTAAACTTGGTTTCTTATATGATTTTCATTGGTGATTCATCCACTTTTTCCTAATAAAATTTTCCTTCTAATGGTCGATATAACTTATAGTTTGATTATTGATTATTGAACTGGCATTTCTAATTGAGTACAACCTTTAATGCATTGATATACATTTTTTTCATGGCAAAAATGCTAGTGTAGGGTCTCTTTGTTTTGTGTACTTTTCATTTAATGCATTGATATTCAATTTTTATTTGTAAACTCATCAAAAAATTGTTATCACAAATATATAAAATGAATATGATGCCTAAATTCGCTAGGAAAAAAAAACTCGAAAATTAATTTTTAAAGAAAAAAGTGTAAACCGCAAACCGCCCGCAACCGCCCGCACATTTGCAAACCCTATCCGCACAAACCGCAAACCGCACTGCGGGCGGTTGCGGGTTGACTTTTTCCCAAACCGCATAGATGCGGGCGGGTCAAAACCGAACCGCAAACCGCACAAAACCGATCCGCGAACACCCCTAAAGATTACAATATAAAAATAATGAGCCGAAACCATTGAGTTGTGAATAAGAATTATCTCATAAAGTGGGCATCAATAAAGTTGGGCTTAAATTTGGACTTAGTCTTAGTGTGGACCGGGTCTAGGCTTGTGCTTGTACATATGCTGGGATTGGTCTTGAACTTGGACTTAGACTTGGACTTAATCTTGAGCTTAGGCTAAGCTATAATGTGTTGAGCTTAGCTTGTGCATATATTTGAGAATTGGGCTTGGATCGGGTTGTAACCCAACATTAGTATCCATTTTGTGACCCATCTAGTTGGTTTATTCAAATATCATTATATACATATTTATTTGTATATATAAGCACATGGGAGGTTTAGACCTTTGTAACTCTCATCTTTTGACGATGGAGTTGATGACCATATTAATGGCCATAGGTTTTCAACCTTTGTAACTCTAGCCCTAATGGCTAGAGTTGATTGCCTTGATTAATGGCATTTGATGGCCCTATTGATGTATAGCCTTCATGGCTAGGGATTCCCTTACTTGTATAAATAACGGTATTTCTCCTCTAACTTGGAAAAAGAATTTTAGAAGGATTTGATGGAAAATGGAGATGGCGTTTTGACATAAAAAGTTGAAGATGCTTATTTTACAAAAAAAAAAAAAAAATTTAAGACCTCCTCGGGGTCTGAATCTGTGACACCAGCAAACTGACTTCGCAACCATTCAAGCCTGACTGAATTGTCACCAGCAGAAGAAACCTCTTCATGTGCTGCACGTTCAGTAATCCCCAAGCCATAAACCAATAGTGTAACTCCATGATGATCTGTCACATCTAGTACGCCGACTGATTTGCCTACAATAGGAAGGCCAAGAATAGTGCCAACATCATCCAGGGTCAAGGTCATCTCACCAACTGTCATGTGAAATGTGTTCTTCTTAGGTTGCCATCTCTCAACAAAACATGAGACTAGAAGCTTGTTGACGAACTGATAAGTGCAACGAGCTAACTGTGACAGTCCAGATTGCTCAATAATGGCTTTGAATATGGTGTTGTTCTCTACTAACCACCATGGCCATGCAAGGATCTTGGAAGAGTGATTATGACACTTTAGGGGCCCTCGTTCCTACAACACAAATGATATCTCATTACAAACTACCATACAACACACATTGATATTTGGTGCAGGTTTTGTTGCACCCAGGCCATCCAGTTCCTCCTATTGCCACTAATTAGAGAAAATACCGTCACCCTTGCGCTGTCGACTGGGCAGTATTGACGGATCAGTCGGTCCACCTGGAAAAGCATGAGTAAGGTACTCTTCCTGGACAGGAGGAGAATCAGGTAAAGAGGTATCCTCCACAGCAATGTCAGGCATATCATAACCTTCAACTCGTCTTTGGCTTCGGCCCCCACTTTGACTGGCACTGGGAATATCATATTCTACCGAAACTGGATCACGACCTCGACCACGACCTTGACCTCGTCCTCACCCACGCCCTCGTCCCCGTTGATGGTCTATATCCAATTCACGATGTCGTCTATTTGAAGCAGTAGGTGGGACACGTTGTTGATATTCAGAATCCATATTATCTGAAAAAAATACTAACTGTGTGTCATGAGTGTGTGTGTAAATAAACAGAGTGTGTGTAAAATTAATGAGAGTGTTTTAAATTATAAGTGTGTGTGTAATGAGTGTGTGTGTAAATAATAAGTGTTTTAAATTATAATGAGAGAGTGTGTGTAAAATTAATGAGAGTGTGTGTAGTGAGTGTTATAATTAAGTGTTAGAAGGGAAAAAAAAAATAAAAAATTGTGTTCGGAAGTTGTTGTCCGAAAACACCTATTCTGTTCGGAAGTTGTTGTCCGAAATTATAGCTACTACTTGGAAGTTGAAAACCGAAAAAAAAAATTATTTTCGGCACTTGAAAGCCGAACCAAGTAAATATTTTCGGAACTATAGTGCTGAATAGAAGCAGAAATTTCAGAACTCTAATGCCGAACAAAAACAAAAATTTCAAATAACCAGTTCCGAATGAAACACGGCAATCACTTACGACTGAAAATTTCGAAAATGGTAAAAATTAACCCTACATTACAAATAAAATAGGAATGAGAAGATTCTAATATGTGTAAACTAACCTAAAATGTGAAAATTTCAATGCTCTTCAATGCCCTTCAATGCCAAAACTTCAAACTACTTCAACCATGACACAAAATGGATGGATGAAGCTTTTGGCAAGAACGTAGGAGAGTGTGAGTAGATGGTGTGTGATGTGTGAAGAGGGGTTCTCGATGGGGTTGTGTGTGAAGAGGGGGTGTGTGTGTACTCCATACATATTGGGGCCATTGTGGACATGATATGTTGTGATATGTGAACGCACTCACCAAATAACGCATCCACTCACTTCTCACCTGATCATATGCTTTCCCCCTCGAACGAACCCGCCCACGCCCACAGACATCAAAACCCCAAGAAACTATCTCCTCGTAAAAGCACATCGACTGAAGGATTATGTATCAGGAGGAAAGCGTGAGACATACGATACAGAGAATACCTACAATCATAGCAACACTCCATAAAAAAACTAAAAATGGTTTAAAGCAAGGAACGAGCCTAGAGTTTATTACATATATATTTACTAATACATTTTTTCCGGACCATGCTGGTGTTCCAATGTTATCATTGAGCCTTGTTCTCATGGGCTGCGCAGTGGCTTCATATAACAGAGCCCAGACACTTTATCCCAGTTATTGTAGCCAACCCGATCTTTTATGTAGTAATTGAATTGTGAGAATTCTATTTGCGCACAAAAAATCATTAAGTACGGTTTAATTTTTTCCGAGCTATCAATTTATTTAAATTATTTAAAATATAATTTATTCTCAATGTACTTTCTATGTTACTTTCTTTTTCTTTTTTTTAATTCAAATTGAACCTTTCAAGGACCACTCAAATATATAATAAATTCAAAATTTTCAACCATTACACCACTTTCAAAAATCTGTTTAACACAGATCTCACTTATTCCACTTTTCGTTTCCCTCCTCAATACCCTTACAAAGAATGGTGCGAAACGAGCATGGCAGGAATTAAACCCGCTCAAATTAGTTCCAGCTATAACACATGTGCAGAACCATAAATGTTCTTGCGATGGAAATAGGATTCGTTAAAATGCACTTGAATTAAACAAGTTCTGGTTTTGTGACCAGCCCACCTTGATAGATGCAACTTTGCCCTCTCCAAGATGGATGTCAGTTTTTTGGATTTCTATTGT